TATATATATATATATATACTTTTAAAAGATTGAATGATCATCATTAACATTAACCAGGTGTTTCAACTTTACTGTCTCATCAGGTACTTTTGGGTTGATAATTATTTAAAAAAACACCTGATGAGACCGTAAGGTTGAAATCTGGGTGGTGTTAATGGTGAATTTTTCCAATCTTTTAACAATATAATTATCCGATCTACTCATTCGATTTTTAGAATTGTGTATTAAACACTTTCTTAAAATATGCGTCGTCTTGTCTTATTCGGGTTTGGCCAAATACCTTTATATTGTACCGGGTGTAACAGCTAAATTGTCCAAATAGTGTAACAACAAAATTGTTCAATTGTTAGATTAAGTTTGAACTGTTGAATCTTAGAAATTATTAAAGATATCTTACTGGAATTTTCCGAGATTTTTATAACACTCTACTTTGAGAAATAAGAATGTATAATTACTCTCTAACCTTAACAGAAGAATCGTGATGACATCGATCATAAACAAAAATGATATCATCGCTAAGGATCGGAAGCTCAAGAAGGATTGAAATAAAGTTCAAATATATATATATATATATATATTATTTCAGGATCAGTTTCCAACTTATTCAAGATGACCTTCGCTCTCTCTAACCTTGTAACTTTCTGCCTCAGAAAGATCCAAGGTTTCACGTACGAACTCAAGATGAAATCGGACGCGAAACCTTGGATCTTTTCTAATTGATCTCTTTAGCTCTAAGTTGAAATGATGATCTCTCTTCCAGTTTAGTTTAGTTTAGTTTTTTTTTGTTTTGTTTTTAGATAGTTCTGCTGTTTCACGATTTAGACAATTCTGCTGTTACATCCGACACATTCTTTTCGCGGTTTTATTGATGTAATCATTTTAAAACGTAAAAGTAGGGAGGGAGAGATACCAGAAATGTCGCTTACAGTTTTTACACACACACGCACGCACGCACACACACACACATATATATATATATATATATATGTGTGTGTGTGTGTGTGTGTGTGTGAATATATGTGTGTGTGTGTGTGTGTGTGTGTGTGTGTGTGTGTGTGTGTGTGTGTGTGTGTGTGTTAGGCAAATGAATGACAGTATGGAAAAAAATTCTGTGTAGCGTGGTTCCTACGCTACTCTATAAGAATTTTATCGGATTAAAGCAGTGTTTCTATTGATGGAATTATAGATATGTAGGAAGGATTTGGTTTGGTTTGGTTTGGTGTGGTTTGGTTTGGTTTGGTTTGGTGTGGTTTGGTTTACGGCATATCAACCCCAATGGGATATTTAATGCCGACGAAATTTTCATTGCTGGTATTTTGTTAAAAATCTATTTTTGGTAATAATTTTTTTTTTCAGAAATGTGTTACTGTAATAATTTTTTCCCCAAAAAAAAACTATTGCTGATAATATTTTTTTTTCCTCAAAAATGTATAGCTGGTAATAGATTTTTTTTTTTTTTTTTTTCAAAAATTTATTGCTGGAAACAATTTTTTTTTTTTTTTTTTACAACGTGTTTCTGGTATTAAGACTTGTTTTTACACTTTCATGGTGTTTTTACCCCAGTTTCGGGGTTAACTATTTCTCCATAGCTGGGACCTTAACAGGAGGTACCACCCCGGGTGAGGGCAGACACCAGCAATCAAGAGGTGGTTCCACGCTCCTCAAAACCTCCTGATCAGAGGCCCTGCTGTTGAACGTAATTTATCGTTTTACCTAGGACGCGGATAAAGTTTATCGTCATACCCAGGACGGAGTAAGAAGGAGAGGAACAGACAGAAAAACGCAAGCGTTATGATTGTAAACAGACAGAAAACCTTGAAGATGCTGGAACGCCGAAATTTAAAATGTTTAAATTTAAATTTCCTTTTTTCTCAGATGGGGGGGGGGCAGGTTCTTCAGACAGACCAAGACAAGGACAAAAGTCTATATAAACATATATCCGCAAATCCTTGGTTTTTTGTGTTATTAAATTTAAACTAAGTTTTCGGTAGATGGCATTGTATTGACATGTAGACTGGGTTACATTGGATATTCCTGTACATTTGTGACTAGTCTGTCTTCAACGTTTAACGTGTGTAGTAGTGAGTAAACTAAGACTTGTCCCGTTTAACAATGGCAAGATATTCATATCGAGAGCAGGCAGATATGGTTTTTACATAACGCTGCGCGAATGGTAATGGACGGGAAGCTGCACGACTATCTAATTGCGTTTCCGGACCGAAGGCAGCCGAGTCATCCAACTTTTGCTGCTGTTTATTATCGCGAAGCTGAGACAGAATCTGCGGTAAAGTTGGTATAAGTATTTTTGTATTGTGTCTTGGATTGTTCATTTAATAGCGTCTACAAAAATTAAAATTAATGACTCAAAAACAGAGTATATGCAGACTTATGTTTATATGGAAATTTGTCCGGTTTCTTGGTGTGAGAAACCCGCCTCCAGAGTTTTATTTTAGATACATACTGTATATCTTTATGTGTGTTCGCGGCGTGTGTGTGTGTG